GGCTGGGGATTTGAACCCGCCACCTTAGGTGTACGTGGCTGGCGCCTTAGCCGGTTGAGCTATAGGCGCCGAGCCCTGAATGTCTTTTAATGCCATCTCTATGCGTAGGTTTTAAGCTCTCCATAAAAGCTTCATGCCCAAAGTTTTATGCTCCTAGAAATTTGCCATGAGATAAATTATACTCACTACTTTTTTCATGATTTGATATGAATCTTTGTACGTTGTCTGTCATTCATTAAGAAGAAAATCCCTACTAAATCAGCTTTTTCAAAGACACAACGCACATTTCTGAGATTCTTAAAGATATTGAGATTTTGGACCAAAGGTTTCTCTTTTAAAAATTTATTTAAAAATTTCAGATTACATTGGCGGCGCCTGTGGCTCAAAGCAGTAGGGCACTGGCCCCATATGCTGGAGGTGGCAGGTTCAAACCCAGCCTGGCCAAAAACCACAAAAAAAAAAAAATTCCGATTAGGCTCTGCGTCTGTAGCTCAGTGATTAGGGCACCAGCCACATACACTGGTGCTGGCGGGTTTGAACCTGGTTCCGGCCTGCTAAACAACAATGACAGCTGCAACAACAACAACAACAAAATAGCTGGGTGTTGTGGCAGACGCCTGTAGTCCCAGCTACTTGGGAGGCTGAAGCTAGAGAATTGCTTAAGTCCAAGAGTTTGAGGTTGGTGTGAGCTGTAATGCCCTGGCACTCTACCAAGGGCGACATAGTGAGACTCTGTCTTAAACAAACAAACAAAAATTTAGATTAATATGAAGGTACAGATGATTAGGTTATGGTGTTTTCATTTGTTAGGGAAAGTCCCTGTTGTAGCTGTGTCCTGTGCATAGGAGGTGTGCCATGTATATACCCTTACATTGTGTCCATTAGGTGAGAGTACACCAATCCCCCCCAACTTGAACTGAATTGCATTTTTCTCTTGTGTGGGGGTGTATTAGTTAGTTCATCTATTGGCTTCATATTAGTATGGACAAAAGTTTGAATAATTATTTTTCTTGTGACGGTTTGCAGCATTCTCCTCCCTCAGTTGTATCAGACCTATTCACAGACATTAAAAAAGGTCATGTCCTCCTGGACCTTCTGGAAGTGCTTTCAGGACAGCAGTTGGTAAGAGTTTTAAATGACACCAAGAAACTTTCTGTTGGTTTTTTTAAAAATGTATTTCATATTTCTGGATAATATATTTACTTGAATTTCGTAGCCTCGGGATAAAGGATCTAATACATTCCAGTGTAGAACCAACATTGGAAATGCCCTGACATTCCTAAAAAACCGATCGGTGAGTATAAATTTCACTAGAAAATTCACAGGAGAGGTTAATGCTATGGGCTGTTTTCTCCTTTTAACCTGTATTTCTTCTTTTCCAGATGAAGCTAATAAATATTCATGTTACTGATATAGTGGATGGAAATCCATCTATTATTCTCGGACTGATTTGGACAATTATACTGCACTTTCATGTAAGTAATTTGATGATAATGAAAATCATTTCTCCTCTAATGACCACAGTATGAAGTAAGTGTGATGTGGTGAGTGTGACTTGATGCTACATTTAATCCTGAGCTACTTTCACAAATAGGACCCCTAGAAATCTTGAACAGGTAGAAAATATGTAGTTGACCATGTGCCATTGTAGTTGTTTTTCAACTGAAAGTTGAATGACCAATTAAAAGATGAATATAAGTCATGTTGAGCACCTCTTATAATTGCATAAGTCAATTATGACTTGAGCATTACAAATTGAATACAATTCTTTCCTTGCTTAAAATGTCTATACACTTTTTGCCACCCATTGTATAACATTGAAAACACGTAAAACCAACCTATTTTATTATTTCTAGGTATGTGCACTTACCCAGAAAGTAGTTACAACAGCATAATATGAGTGAGGATAATGACAATTAAATTTAGTGGGGTTTTTTTTCTGGGAATGAAGGGAATGGGATTAGAGAGGGAAAGATAGGAGGAGGCTGAAACTGTATCTGTGTTTTATTTCTTTAAGAAAATCTGAACCAAAAAAAAAAAAGAAAATCTGAACCAAATGTGGTAAAGTGTAAAAATTTGGTAATTCATGGCACTTATTTTTTTCCACAGTTTCCTGGGTATTTGAAATATAATTAAAAATTTTAATATAGATGATAAAAACATAATCATCTGTAATCTACCACTCATAGTTAACTGTAATACATAATTAGATGTATAGTCTTTATGATAGGAACTAGTGTGGTATATATTCATAGAGGTATATTTGTAACAAAATGGAGTCATGTTACCCGTACTGTTTTCAATCTGTTCTAATGAACATCTTTTTGAATTTCATTTATTTGAATAGAGGCATGATGTTTATTGTAAAGTACTGAATTTGGCAAATGGATAATGGAAAAGGTCATGATTATTTGTGATTCTAAGTAATTCCAAAAAAGAATGCCCTTAACATAAAACTTTTACATACTATCTATTTCCATGGGCCAAATTCTTAGAAGTGGAATTGTAGGCCCAGGCATGGTGGATCACACCTGTAATCCTAGCATGCAAGGAGGCTAAGGTGGAAGGATCCCTTGAACTCAGGAGTAGGAGACCAGCCTGAGCAAGAGTGACACCTTGTCTCAACCAAAAATACAAAAATTAGCCATGGGTGGTGGCAGTCACCTACAGTCCCAGGCACTTGGGAGGCTAGGGCAGAAGGATCACTTGAGCCCAGGAGTTTGAGGTTCCTATGAGCTATGATGGCCACATGGCACTCTAGCCTGGGCATCAGAGTGGGACTCTGTTTTTTAAAAAAAGGTCAAATTGCATCATAGTGTTTGCATACTTAAAAGACTTTTTTTTTTTTTTTTGGAGACAGAGCCTCAAGCTGTCCCCCTGGGTAGAGTGCTGTGGCATTACAGCTCACAGCAACCTCCAACTCCTGGG